TTGTTTCCTCGATACGATCCTTGCTTCGGATAGCAACAACGTTGGTGACTGATTGAGCGATTGGGCTTTTCTTTCGTGGATGATATTTCAATACCTTCTTCATACTCGCCGTGGTGATAACCAAAACCCAGCAAGAACATTGCGCGGACTACCAGATCTGACCATGAAACAACGAAAACTATTTGAAATTCGTTTAGAGCTCTAGCCACCCACTCATCATTGTACCAAATCAATCCGTCGAATCCTTTAATTCTCGTATCGTAATCGTCCAAATAACTTAATAATACGATGAGCTCCACTCCCAAAGAAGCCATAAGATCCAGCAAACAGTCGAAAAATACGGACACAAACCGCCTTCGGGCTTCATCGTGATGCATGAAAACGGTAGGTAATAGCGATTGTATGGTGATGTACCGTAGGCATGCCGATCTTGTAAAACTCTAGATACAAGTTGAGGTTGGTGTCATGTAGTTTCCAATAGCAATATGCGTAGAGTGTATTGTAAGTACACGTGATCACATGCACAGTGATAATAGCAAGCCATCATATCGCGAAGATCCAATACGAGAGGGTGATGCTGGCGAGCTCGTCAGATATTCTCCGTGATAGCTCGCGAGTGGGGTCAACGCTAGGCATCTTCGTGAGCTCGTTTGAATAATGGGGTGATCGGAATCAGGTAAAATAACCGTAAATCTATTCTTTTACATGTGTATATATGATGACCTATAATAGGTCCACCCCCGCGAATACGGGGTGCAGTACTGTGCTGTACTAGTCAAATACTACGTCAGTGTGAATAATTTACTACTAAGTACTACCTCCGTTCTACAAGACATTTAATATTTCTCTTGATGCCTTTTAAATTTTCAAGCAAACAAATTCTAAACTTCGCGAAGCATGAAAACTTTAGCCAGGTGTGCGTGCTTAGTGTTGGTAGCTGCAGCGCTGTATTAACGCGTCGTAAACGGTAGATAACATCGCCGGAATGAGGCGATAGTCGAGGCATCTGACCAAAACTTACGCTATGCAATCAATAAAAAGGCTACGTCCACCAGGTTTGTACCATCGACAGATTACACACTGGCGCATCGTTTTGGACTCATCTCACTAAGTAGTATATCCTCCAATCGAAATCATTCTTGATTTAAAAACCGCTCCAATTTCGAACTTAAATGGACAACAACATATCGATAGGATATTTTCGACCAATCCCCAAGAAGTATTGAATTAGGCCAAGTTTTAAGACTGCTAATCCATGGGTTTACCACATCTACACAACAACATCGTCCAACGCTGCCTTGTCGATTTTTACTGCCTCGCTTGAGCATGACAGCGAGAGTGGGAGATCTCCTAGCCGAACCCACTTGTCCATACCTAGATGTGAAAGCTTGTAGGTGTTTCCGCCGCGGTCCAGCATCGCTTGTTCCAACACAAATTGTAGCATTAGGAATGACTTACTTAGCGTCACAGACTCGAGCTCAACAAAAGCTGACCCCACCCCATCGACTAACTGCTCCACGTTGTACGCTCGCTTCTGATATTGAAAAGCTTGGATACTGGAAAAGAATCCAAGGTCGAGTAAT